AGACGATGTACATAAAAAAAAGACTTATCCAAACAGATAACTGAAAGTTTTATAAGATCAGCGCCCCGTTTAAAAAATTATATGTACGCTTGTCGAGCATTAATCTCGCTAGAAAAGGGGAAATACTAAAGAAGCCAGGACAAGCGTTCATATAAATTTTAGATCAAAATAGAATTCTTTTCATTTTTCATTCAAAATACTCAAATTTTAGGAATACGTTTTCGCAGCGTCACCCACGTGACGACGACGTGACCATGTTTTAAACGGAGCGCTGATCTTATAAAACTTTCAGTTATCTGTTTGGATAAGTCTTGTTTTTATGTACATCGTCTTTGTCATGTTGAATTGATAATGTTAATTATATTTTATGAATATGTCCTGAAGATGGTTTATTAGACCGAAACGTCCGACGTTGACATATTAACATTAAAACAGCATAATTGCATATAAGGATTTTTGTTTGTTTTTTCCGTATATATTTTTTTCTTCATACTGTCGGATCTATATCCATATATTTCATATTACATATATATATATATATATATATATATATATATATATATATATATATATATATATATATGTGTGTGTGTGTGTGTGTGCGCGCGCCTGTGTGTGTATATTTGAATGGGCCACTTTCCAGAAACACTAACATTAGACAAGCAAGAACGTCACTGAGAGGAGATCTCATTACTAAACCAAATTTTTGCCTGTAAAGGTAATTTAATTATAAATTAATTTAGGAGTAATTTAATTTTAATTTAATTCCAACATCCATATATCTACTTCTGATAAGAGCGGGAGAATTGTAATCATGGATAAACATATTTACCAGCAGAAAATTTGCATATCGTATGTTTTTCAGATTCTTCTTCTTTTATGCGCCGCGTCTCTTCATGATGTAGGCGATCATGGCCCTCCACATCCTCCTGACTCTTGTAGCAAGTTTCGTCCTTTTGTTATTTCAACCAAACCCTGTTCTGCCCATCAAGTATGTTCCACACTGTTTTCCGCTGACCCTATTTCTCTCAAGCTGTTCCTTGAGTATCAGGTTTTCACAGCCCTACTTCAGCATTACGTGCACGAGAAACCTCAACTGTTTGGCCCATGCTATCCTCAGCATCTTTCTGTAGAACCACATTTCTGTTGCTTCGAGTCTCTTCTTCATCTTTGAGGAGATTGTAGGGCATTCGTTGTCATGCAGGCGGACAGATATCACGTGACATTTCAGTACTCTTTTCTTTGTCCCTCACCTGCGTCGATAATAAACCTTTGTAATATTTATGCTCAGAATGATATAAGTAAAAGCAAGACAAATGTATAAGCATGTGTACCTGTGTTTTATAGATTACGCAAAAGCGTTTGATAAAATATATCACAAAGAACTGTTGCAACTTTTGGTAACCTTGACATATATGGGAAGGATATTAGAATAATCCAGAACATGTATTGGTAGCTAGCCGTCTGCTTGCGGATAGAAAATGAGTTAAGAAAATATACAAAAATAAATGAGGTGTAAGATGCATCTTTTGCATCAGACCTGTTCCCCTTATACAATGAGGCGATTCTGAGAGAATTAGTTCTACTAGGATTCATTATTGGCAGCAACAATCTTAACACCATAAAATATACAGATGATGCAGTGTTGATAGCAGATACAGAAAGTGTCGTAACCTAGGGAAGGTTACTGAATAGAATAATCAAACGAAGGTTTGTAATGAACGATAATACTTAGAACAAGAACAACACATATAAGATTCGCCAGCGGCGCGTAGAAGTAGTCAACTGCTAGAATTGAGTCAAGTGAATTCCGCATTGAATCTCCAAATCTAGCTTATCTACCAACCACCCCACGCGGTCAGATGTGGCACAAGGCCGAATTTAATGTGGGGTATCCGGGCCCGTAGGCACGGCCAAAAATTCTCCGTACACCCCGTATAAAACGGTGTTGGGTAGCTGTTTCCCGAGACGAGACTCTGCCCTTCGACATAGCCTCGTCTGTGGATCCTCTCTGTCTGGAGATAGAGAGTTTGACCAGCACAGCTGGAGACGAATCTCCAACTATTGACCAACATACAGTATTTACTACGGTATTTATACGAATGAGGACATAGCCATTATCGTCTGTAGGTATGCTACAACAGAAAAGAAATCACAACATATCCTACAGAAGATAGTGAAAGAAAGCGAGAAGAAAAGACTAAACATCAATTGCAAGGAGATAGAATACATGGTTGTTAGCTAAAGCAACAGTCCAACATGCACATTACAAGTTGACGGTACCGAAATCGAACAAGTGCAACAATTTAGATATCTTGGAAGCGTATTAACAGAGGGTAGATAGCGTTATACGGAAACCCGAAGGCACATTGGGATATCGAAAGATGCCTTCCAAAAGATAAGTAAAGTATTAAGAAACAGGAAAATACCGTGAGGAACAAGGAAAAGCGTAACTGAACTGCTATGTAATATCAGTTCACCTATATGAAAATGAATGCTGGACAATCTCCTCATAGATGAAGAAATGAGCTGAGAATACCATGAACTGATCATGAAGACTCAGTTCACATTTCTAGGGCACATAATGAGGAAAGAGGGCTTGGAGAATTTGATACTCACAGGACAGATTGAAGGCAAAGAGGGATAGAGGAAAACAACACATAACCCACTAAGCAAGTTTTAGAGAAAATGGAAAAAAAAGGACACTTATACTTAACAAAAGGAAGATATCGTTGAAATTTCTGGGACACATAATGAGAAAAGAGGGCTTGGAAAATTTGATACTCAAAAGACAGATTAAAGGCAAAGATGGATAGAGGAAAACGACAAATGACCTACCAAACAAGTTTTAGAGAAAATAGAAACAAAAAGCATGCTTATACGTCACATCAGAAAGAGAGAGTTGATATTTTTAGGGCACATAATGAGGAAAGATTGCTTGGAAAATTTGATACTCACAGAACAGATTGAAGCGAAAGAGAGACAGAGGAAAACAACACATGACCTACCTAGCAAGTTTTAGAGAAAATGGAAACAAAAAAGGAAACTTATATTTCACATCAGGAAGTGACCGTTGGCTTAATATTGCTTGAATATATCTGGCAAGAATTTGGCCACTTTCTATTGTTTTAATACTTAGCTAATTCTTTTTCTGTTCACACGCAGGCGATTTGTTCTCAGTAAATATTAATGATTATTTTAATATGTTTCGCATTTTTAATTATTTTAATATATTTCCCATATGCTTTCCCATATTTTAATATATTTAAATTTCTCTACCTTCTTGATTCTTACACTTCCAATTTGAAGCTCAAATCTTTAGTTGCTCCTTTTAATGGTAGGCATACATTCTTGTCTTACAATTAACAACTAAACCTTTATATCGGTTGAGTAAATCTGGTCAGAAGACGTTACCCTCTCTTACCACTTTTTCTATTATTTTTTCTACTTGTCCAATTTTCTATCGGCATGTAGGCGGTTTGTTCTCAGTAAACTTTAGGGATTACCAATAATTGTTTTAAACGATCAAGTGTAACAATGTTTTTTAGATTTCGTTTACCTTACTTCATCGAACGTTGCCTATTATCAGGCAATGCGAAATATTGTAGAAATCTGATTGGTTTTATTGATCCTGAAGACTTTGCTTAACAAAGTGATTCATCCGTGCGATGACGTCACGCCTTCCCGATCTTAATTCATTGCGTCTTCAGTGCTTCTCTTTCGCTTGTTAGTGAACAATCAAATCCTGTCATTGATACACTCTTTCCATTAGCCACAGGAGGTAAAGATCCAGAGTACAAACAAATTACCGTGCTGATGGGATTCCGTACGGGGGAATATGTGGTACGAAAATCAATTATCTTGAGCAGCCGACGACGGAAAACGGGCGATCCAAGTTGGGTAGATATCTGGCCAAATAAGCGCGCGCGTTTAAGTCAGTAAATATAATTAGGATTTCTGTATGTTTAAAAGCGAACAACAGCTGCGCCACAAAGGCTTTGATTATTGAATAGACTTTTGTTGTGTTCATACAGACATGTATATGTAATATATTAAATGTCCGCACGGGAGTTGCGCTGTGTGTGAAGGGCCGTGAATAATTTCGGGACAACAGGACGCTCACTAATCTCGTCAAGATTGACATGTGGCTGTTTAAAGTCGACAATGTGTTGGTTAATATTGTCCATATAGGCGGAGTTGGAGAGAGGGACGGAACGTTTGATGTCTCACTAATGTGTCGCGTATAAATAAGCTAGCGAGATATCATCAGTGCGAGTGTTTATATCTTTCGGAGGTCTTCTGACTTTTTCATGCTATGATACGATACAACTGTTCTGACCTTGGAAAATGAGCTTTCATCTTTTTTTTCACCCACGTTATGGAGGCAACCGAGACCAGAAAGCAAAAAAAAAAAAAAAAAAAAGTGGAAAAGAAATACTTCGACGAAGCGCTACGTTTATTCCCATCCTCATTGCAAAGGGCCGTGTTCATTACGGTTTATGAATTCAGTATAGTTCTTCTCCTAGACTGGTTGCCAGTCACGGCTATATATCACAGTATACCTTGCTATTTAACCCTGAGTGTTTGTTTGGCTCGTTGGTTTCTTTTGTTTAGCGGCATACCAATCCCTATGGGTTATTTAATGCCGAAATCTAAATATTTTGAACACAATTGTATGCTTTCAACTACAATGTATTGTTGGTAATTTTACTATAAAAAGGTATTGATCTTTGGTTGATTTTGTTTAGCGGTATATCAACCTCTATAGGTTATTTAATGTCAAAATCTACATATCTTGTACACAATTTTATTTTATTTCTTTAGAGATAATCGTTACGTGATACTAGTTAACCAGTAGCAGGAGGAGAAGAGGTGGATTCATACCTTTCCCAAGGGTATTTGCGCGTAATTGAATATAACGAACCTGGCTGGAATTGGAACTTGGCTCTCCAATTAACAATTCCGAGCCATTATCCATTATACTAAACACAAATCCAAACTTACAGCACCTGGTATTCCCAAGCGGTCACCCATCTAGGTACTGATCAGGCTCGACGTTGCTTAACTTCGATGATCGTACAGGAACCGATCTTTCGACTTGACGTAGTCGTAATCCTAATTCTGGGTGTTCATAATTCCGATCGGGGAAAAAAAAAACAATGATGTTGGTGGGCCCCGAATACACTCTTAATCGAATGCTGGTTGCTGAGTCGCAACTCATCCACCCTCTTTAGAAGGGTGAAGTTATTTAAGGGTTGCTATCAAGGTGATTAAGGTAGTTACTATATACCCTGGTTTTGAAATGAGCGGGATCATCTTCCAAGAGAGACTGCAAACCAAGGCTAACGATCTCTGGCTATCCGTTCTTCAAAGTGGAAAACAAATTAAAAATTGAAACAACAGTGAAACGAGAGGTTTTATTAAAGCACCATGGACTTCAAAGACATCAAATTTAGTGGTTTCTCTATTTAAATTTGTCCTGGGTATGACGATAAACTACATCCGGCCAGCAAGACCTCTGACTGGGAGATTGGAGGTTTGGGAACCGTGGAACCACCTCTTAACTGTTATTGTCCCCAGATCCACCCTGACTGTGGTGTTAGCACCAGTTTGGGCTCTGTTGTATAGCCACCTCATGCTTGAAGTTCCTGGTCTTTTTTTCTTTTTATTTGCCGTGTCCTTTCAGGACATAGGCGATCATGGCTCTCCACTTCCCCCTATCCTTTGTGGCTCTCAATAAGTTTCGTCCTTCTGCCTCCTCCCCAAGACAACGTTCTGCCATTCACTTGCTTAAGCCTGCCAGGTATGTCATGTGTTGCTTTCCCTTGTCTCTCTTTCCACTCTATTCGACCTGTGAGTATCAGATTCTCCAGGCCCTCCTTTCTCATTACGTGTCTCAGAAACTTCAGCTGCCTCTCCCCAGTGTTAAATATAAGACTCCACCTTGTTTGCATCCTCTCCGGGACTTCATCGTTGCTCACACGCTGGGTCCATGATATCCTCAGCATTCTTCTGTAGAACCACATCTCCCTCGCCTCGAGTCTCATTCGCTGCCGTAAAGATGGAGGGGAATGGTTGATAGCTTATAGCACGTGGGCGCTCCAACGACTCCTTCCGTGGTTAATAGCGAAAGAATACCAACAACAAAAGCTGGGAATGTCGCTCCTAAGTGGTTAGCTAGGTTCAGAAGAGAAAACTTTCATCTGGAAGTTCGAGAACGATCTTGTTAGCCTGTAGACGTTGATAACGTTCAACGCGCACTGGACTAGCGAGACATGTCTTCCAAAAGCTAAATACTTAATAAGAAACAGGAAAATTTCGTCAGAATCAAATATAATAATGCTATAAAATCGTCTAAATAGCAGTGAGATATGGACATTTTCTTCACAAATGAAAAGGAAGCTTGTTGGTTCTACAGAAGGATGGTGGTTATACCCTGGGTAGAATGTGTGAGCAACGAGGAAGTTTTAAGGAAAATCGAAAAAGTGGGACACTTTACATAGAATCAGAAAGTGACAGTTTAAATTTCAGGGACCTAAAATAAGGAAAGAGGGCTTGGAGAGTTTGGCATACTGAAGGCGGGAAAGACAGAGAGAAACAACGAATATACTACCTAACAAGCCACGAGATAGAATGGGTTATTTAGCCTTGTTTAACAAATCGTTTAGGAGTATAATTCTGAAGACAAAACAGTATGTTTTTTTTTTTTTTTTTAAGCGTTTCACCCCAAGCAAGGCGGGAAGCCACTAGGACGCAAGGGGTTACAGAAGATTTGGAGCAAGATCAGATACGAGTGATAGAAGAAAGGATGAGGAGAAGGATAGTGGATAGATCAAGGCAACTGGAGATGTCGATTGATATTACATTTGAATAGTTGGAGATTATAGCTCTCAGGGAAACTGGAATAGAGAAGGGATTTCCACAGGCGAGAGGTGCAAGATATAAAGCTATTGGAGTAGAAGAGACGGCTACATTTAGTAGTTTCGACAGTGAAAGGGTGAGAGCGGGATGCCAGCCTCGTAGGGCGCTTGAACTCATAAAGTCTGGGAACCAGCGAATGCAGCTCCTCGGAGCAATTACCATGAAAGTATTTGTAAAAAAGACAGAGAGAGGCGACGGCGCGTCTGTTAGAAAGTGACTGTAGACGAGATGCCAGAACAGGGCCAATTATATTGCATATCCGCCTCTGGAGCTTATCAAGAAACCCGAGGCAAACAGAAGGGGCTCCAGACTATATATGGCAGCAATACTCCATGCAAGGGCGAATTGTTGATTTGTAGATCTTGAGGATCGATTCCCGGGAGAAAAATTTCCTGGCGCGGCACAGGGAGCCAACTTTCCTTGCGGTGGACGAAGCAATTGACTCAATGTATTTGTTCCATCTCAGGTCAGCAGTCAACGTGAGACCGAGCAGCCGCAGAGAGATGCTCTAGAGAAGTTGCGCGTCAGACATTCTAATGGAGGGCAGGGAAGGATCTCTGTGGTGATTAATAGAGAGCAGTTTTTAACCCTGATGAGGCACATCAGATGCAGCTGACAAAAAGATCTACGGATCTATTATCCAGACAACATCACGTTGAAACACGGTTCTCATACAATCACTGAAGTTAAGCAACGTCGATCCTGGTCAGTGTCTAGATGGGTGACCATTTGGGAATACCAAGTGCTTGTATGTACAGATAGTTTAATGGATTATGGCTCGGAATTGTTAGTCGGAGAGTGCTGAGTTCAAATTCTAGTCGAGTTCGTTATGTTCTCGTACGCAAATATTCTTGGGAAAGATATGAATCCATCTTCTCTCTCCCAGCTATGGGTTAATTAGTAAGACTTGTATTACTAAACTATTATTACCGAAAAAAGAAAGAAAAGAAAAATACATTCTAAAAATAGATGGCTTTAAATAGGAGTTGATAACCCGTGAAAAACGAATCAACCAGCCATTAACCAGACTGTGGTTATTAAACCAACCAGTCGTTATCAAGAAAAATGTACAAGATTCTTCTTCTTCTATGTGCCGTGTCTCTTAAGGTCATGGGTGATCATGACTCTCCACAACTTCCTATCCCGTAAAGATACTACAAATATATGAGCGTTGTAATACATATATCGCTATGATGTTTGGGTAACAGAAAAAATAACTTAATAGACCACATTTTCACTTGCGATTCTTATTTAATGTGCGGGGATAGATTGTTCTCGTTCTACTGATCATGTCACGAGAAATCTCGTCCAGTTCTCATTTTCAGTACGTAATTTTTCCACCGAGATTAAGACTGCCGAAAGATTGAACTCTTCTACTTTTCGATGTGCCGTGTCGCTTCAAGACGATCATGGCTCTCCAGGATTTCCTTTATAGATCTTAATAATTTTTTTTCTTTTTGTTATCTCTCCTGAAACTTGTCCCACTCTCCATTTTCCCAAGCTCGCTATATCCGTTATGCGTTGTTTTCCTCTATCCCTCTTTGCCTTCAATCTGTCCTGTGAGTATCAGATTTTCTAAGTCCTCTTTCCTCATTATCTGCCCTAGAAATTTCAACTCTCTCTTTCTGATGTTAAGTATAAGTGTCCTTTTTGTTTCCATTTTCTCTAAAACTTGCTAGGTAGGTTATGCGTTGTTTTCCTCTATCCCTCTTTGCCTTCAATCTGTCCTGTGAGTATCAGATTTTCTAAGTCCTCTTTCCTCATTATCTGCCCTAGAAATTTCAACTGCATCTTTCTGATGTTAAGTATAATTGTCCTTTTTGTTTCCATTTTCTCTAAACCTCACCGTTGCACGCATGTTAGGCCCATGGTATCCTCAGCATCCTTCTGTAGAATCACATTACTATTGCTTCAAGTTTTTTCATATGTGAGGTGATTGTGCAGCATTCGCTGCCATGTAAAATTATTGATATTACGTAACAGTTCAGTACTTTTCTCCTAGTTTCTAACGATATTTTCTGTTTCTTAATACCTGTCTTAGCTTTTGGAAGGCATCTTTCTCTATCCCAATGCGCCTTCGAACGTTTCCTTATAAAGAAAACGACTGATATTACCACTAACAATTACACATCGGAGAAATTCAAACAGAAATGTTTATCAGTAATCGAATAGATACTGTTGTAAATAAGTTTTACTTAAATTAAAAGTTTAATTTGGATTCTTCTTTTTTCTTCATTTTTTTTTTGTATTTTGTGCCAACAAGGCAAATCGACTTAAATTGAAATACAAGAATGTCTTCTTCTTTTTCATTCTGGTTGACAAACACGTATCTTTTCGATTCTGTCCGTGATGAAGGTTTTGCCAAGGAGAAAGCAAATTCATTCACGTCTCCTTGCCTGTAGGATCGACGGTTTCATTTTCAGATTAGGTTCGCCAAGAGGCAAACAGACGTGTTGTTATCAAGGGAGAGATCGTTTTAGGGAAGATAATAGGTCAGTATCGAGACCAAAACTAGCTACAAGTTATAATACCGGCCTCGTTCCCAAAAAGTAAAAATAAAACGAAACGAAACGAAAAAAAAAAGCGTAAAAGAATTTCTCGTTAAACGAAGCAAATGCCTCGCATGTCCAGAGGGTGTTCATAGGAAGAATGTATTTGACTGTAACTGCCGCTTCTGTCTTTCTAACTCGATCACTGTCGACATAGCAGCTAGAACTTGTGGACGCCTCCTCCAAGCCAAGTTCGTAGATACCCTTTGTGTTCGATGTTGTCGGCTGTTCGATATCGGATTTAGGATTCGAACTGTTTGTACTGACCTGAGGCTTTATGATTTCACATTGAACAGAATGGCCCCAGATGGCATTTTCCAGATGACAATTTCCATTGGTATTGGGGGCTTAGAGCCGGAAACATGGCCAGAAGTGAATAGAAAAAAAATGAAGAAGAAAATAAAAGAAAGGAAACGGGTAGAAAATAAAAAGAGGAAAACTTGGTAAAGAAGAAGAGGAAGAAGAAAGAAGAAGAGGAAGAAGAAAGAAGAAGAAGAAGAAGAAAGAAGAAGAAGAAGAAGAAGAATAAGGGAAGAGGAGAAGAAGAGAAGCTAAATAAAAATGGAGGAAGTTGAGAAGGTGAAGGAGGATGACATGTTGAAGAATGAGATGCGGAGTAGGAGGAGGAGATGGAGGAGGA